GCGTTTTGTTGTTGTATGAAGGAAAAAGTAAAGCGACTGGCTGTTAAACCTCTCCCGGCGTGAGGCTACGTTTGTACCGTCTAACCGACATAATATACATGTTAACTAGTGAGGGCCAGGGGTGGCAGTACAGTCACCTTTTGTCACGGGACTATGTGTTTATATACGGTAGTTAGTCTGATTTTTTAAGAATGAATGTCCAGAAGAGCTTTATATTTTTAGAGGTGTACAACGTCTTCAAAATTCAATGGCAGTTTAAGTTTCAAAGAAAGCAGTATCATGTGTGCCAAGTACAATGAATGTCTAACTACAAATTCTGATTTGCCTACATTCATAAACAATGTTATTATTCAATATACTTCTAGTATTTATAAATCTTGGTTATAAAATTCGCTGAGAGCGTGGGCTTTACATTTCACTAAAACGTAAATTGTTATAGGAAACAAAACTTAGCAAGCTGTACAATTTTAATGACGCCCCTTTTCAGGATTATCTAATATATTTTTAACATTAGTTTAAAGTTTACCGCTGTTACATGAACTCTGCATGGGCTCTTCAAGTCATTCCTAATCATCCTTGTTGTTTAAATCACTCATGAATAGACGAGCTTGTGGGAAATTGATTTATTGTGAACAATTTTTTGTAAATACTGCAATACTTATAGCAGAAATTGATATTTCTACTATGAGATATTTCACAACATAAAATGTAACATTCAAGAAGAATATAAACTAATATGTGGCAGAGCAAAGTACGGTGTAGAGTAGTTGGACAGAATACAGAGAATTCTGCAGCAGTATTAAAAAATTAGTACCTCTATCGCTGCGGAGTCAGAGAATGTTCAACATTTCATGTTGTAACCTCATATAATAATAATAAAAATGCTTGCGCGATTAAAGACAGAATCACAGGCAATATCACACTTGCAGCTGGTAAATATTGCAAACACTGGAAATAAACCATGAAATGAAAAATTAATCAGTACTTACAGATGAGTATGACCCTGAAAAGTATTTTGTTGGAGTAACAGATTTTTAAGTTTTAGGAAATCGTCTTCTTTCAAATATTAGACAAGAAAAAATTAAGCAATGAATCTGGGAAATACTGAGTATACAGTCTGATGTTCACTGATGACAACAGAAAATACTGATACTGAAGCCTGTTAATTAAAAGTCTGAACTAAACGACGTCTCACACTTTCTGCTCTGGTATAAACTGGACATTAAAGCAGGAGCATTTTACACTGAACTGCCTGCTGGTCCTTTAATGCTGGACTCTGTTCACCACAGAGATTCACACTAAATACAGAAATAAACAGCAGGTCGTAGAGGAAGTGATTGAACACAGCACAGCACTGACAGTTTAGCAAAACACAAGAGCTGCTAACTTAAGCTCACTGAACACAATCTCTGTGGGTCCAGTGGACTCTCTCGTACCCGTGTTTGTGGGGTTCTGGGGACGGGCTGGTCCAGAGGGACTGTGGATACAGGGATGTTTGTGCCTGAGAAAGTTCCGGTCTGTGTAAGTGAGCTTAAAGAATATAATGCCGATTACCGCTCTGTTCATTCTACAGACAGCATAGTGTGGGGCTCATCTGCACGTTTGGGTAAGATCCACATCTGCTACGGTCTCTGATGTAAAATCTCTGATACTCAGACAATCACAGGCTTCTCTAAATAAGGAAACCCCACCTTTGGTCCTCTGCAGCTGCTTCCAAACTGTGGCCAGTGTCTCTGGTGCACTGTCAGTTCTCTCTGTGACTGACATTAATAACGGCTGACATAAAGTGTATCACACGTTGGTGGTGTTTCAGCAGCTTTGCTCTGAACGTCTGTAGGGTGTGGTTGTGGGTCTTGTTTCCATGAAGATGATGGGGCCACAGGCCTCTTGGTCAATGCTACACTAAATAAAACACACAGGTTCTTCACATGAATCCCAGAGAGGAGCTGATTTCTGTCAGCAGGACCCAAGTTCTGAACTACAGATGGAATATGATGGTGTCCCCAGGTTTTAAATGGGTTCCGTTCCCTATTTCTTTAAGTCGAATTTGAAGGTAAGTCAGAAAATTGTATTATAATGCCATCAATAATAATAATTATAATAATACAGTAATAATACAGAAATAATAATAGTAACTACATACGGTACCATACTGTACCTCAAGCTGATGCACCACTGAAGCCACACAATGTTTTCTCTATAGCAGTCCGTTTGTCTGTAGGACAGACTTCCTTCACCTGGGGACTGCCTGTATTTACAGGGGGAGAGAAAAGGTACCCAGTCACAGTGAGTCTGTCCCAGGAAGTTCAGGATGAACGGTGTAATATCCAAGAGGCACGTGTCATACAAAGGGCGTATTGGAATGGGCTGATGGGATATGAATGGCAGAATAATAAAGACATTAGTTTAAGCTGCTGCCTGTGGATGAAGTGATTTGTGCCAGACACTGTGAGTGACGGCAACACGAAACATTGCATGGTGTCAGTTATGCTTGGCTTATAAAAAAAAGGTAGGTACTGGCACTTGGAGTGGAAGGATGGAATCACTAGGAGGTACCTAAACCGCAAATGGACTAGGGCTCTTCTAACCTCCCTGACACATGGCGAAAGTTTCAACAACACACCGAATTAATGTTCAGCAGTCCCCTCCATGTGAAATCTGAGGAGGAGAAATGTAGCTATTTAATGCTATGGATTGGAGAGAAAGGTTTTTAATACATGGTCGCTAGCAGAAGAACAAGCGAACATTTTAAAAGTTATTATGACAAATCTGAAGGCTATGTAATGCCTAAAGCAAACCCGATTTTCGCTTGTTATAAGTTCCATGAAAAATACAAGGTCCAAGTTTCACCAGTTTGTAATGGAACTAAAGCTCTTACTAAAATACTGCGACTACCCAAATAGCAATGAGATGGTCAGGGACAGAGTAATTTTTGCAGCAAACTCACCAAAAGTCCACTAAGCCACGGCCCTGACTTGACTTTGGAAAAGGTGATGGACATCGCTCACTCACATGAGGTCTCACAGCAGCAGTTAAAAATGATGGTGAGCAGCAGGGGTTGTACAGCTGGCCAGGCCATCCATACTGTGAATAAACGCCTGCAAAGTGCAATGCAACAAATGCAAGAAGTTAAAACCCAAATGCAACATCCAGCAAAACACAGACAGTGAAAGGCAGAGATGGGGGACTCGAGTCACATGACTTGACTCGAGTCAGACTCGAGTCACAATTTTCAGGACTTGAGACTTGCTTGATTGAAGTAAGAAAATGACTTGACTTGACTTTGACTTGAGAGTAAGTGACTTGAGACTTGACTTAAAGTGGAAGACTCGACAATGACTTGAACTTTTAAATATAATTCGTTTAATAAAATAAAATAATGTAATAAACTTATGACTCAGCAGCACCATAA